GCGCCCTCCCCGACCCCGGCTCCGGGAGAAGAGGCTGCGCGCTGCTCTTTGGGGAGGGGGTGTGTGGAACCGGTCCCACGTCCGCAGTGGCTGCTGTCGGTGGGTCGCCAGGTCGCCGAGTTGCCGAGACACTCCTGGGGGGCCAAGCAGATAACGGGGGCCGGGCGATGCCGAGACACTCCTGGGGGGCCAAGCAGATAACGGGGTCCGGGCGTCTGGTGTGTGAACACCCCAGGTCAGTGCGTGTCGCGCCCGTGGGAGTCGGTAGTGTCGGGGTTCGGGGAGGGGGCGCCGCGTCGTTACCCTTCGCGGGCGAGAGGTCGCAGACTCGGGGCGTCCGCGCCCGGCCTGGACGGTGCTCGCGTCCATCGGGCTGCCCTGTCCCGTGCCTGTCCCAGACACGGAGCATTATGGCGGGTTTTGGGGTGGTGGAAGGGGAAACTGGCAGTTCAACCCCTGCGAGCGGGGGTTGGGGTGGGCGCCCGCCTCCCGGGCCGCCGTGCGGAGGGGGCGCGGGCAGGCGGCGGGGCTCGGGTCTCCCAGGCCCGGGAACTGCCAGCGCCCCCCTTTCTCAGCTGTGTCTGGTTCAGGTGCTGAAAGCCGGACAGGCCCCATTTTCTCCTCCCATTTCCCGATTGGCAGTGCCTGGCATAAGGTCCTCACAAATGCGAAGTGGGGCAGAAGGGCGGCCTGGGCATCTCTCTTTGTGGGGGAGCGAGACAGCTCCCCATAGTCGCCCGGAGAGGGCGAACCCGCCCCCGAGGTGGTCACCCCAGCACCCAGCCTTCGCAGTCTCCTCCCCCACTCCTATTGCATTGCTGTCGGACCGGAGCCCCAGAATCCAGTGTGGCTCATTGCAGAAAAGCTTATTTGGACCAGAGGACTGGCACAAACACTGTGTTAGCAGACACAAATGAGAAACAAACGGTTCCCTGTGCTGGACCGGGGAGGAGAGAAAGCAATCCAGAGCGCTCGTTCCCATTGGCCTCAGTTCCGCGTATCCGTCCGGGCCGGGCTAGCTCTCAGGAATGATACAATGTAAAGTAAAAGCGAATCGCTACAGTTAGTTACAGAGTAAATTTCGTGTTGCCTATTTTATTCAAACCTTTTGGAAATGTGAATGAGGTAAGGGCTTGGACTTCTGAAGACCTTGGAGAGAATCAAGCGAAGCGCCTTCAACTCTAGGCTGGAGACATCAATAGCTAATTGGACAGTGGTCCTTCTTCTCCTTTAATTTCTGAGATGGGAGTAAAAACTGTAATTTCCCTCTTTTGTCCTTTACAGATTCTAAAAATGGCGGCCTCAGGCTGATGTTGTGGTAATCTAATCAGCTCGGGTCCTCCACACCCCATGCAGTGCGTTTGTCTGCAGCATATTACAGGCTTATTATGTTTACATGAAGAAACAACGCTTTTTTTTCCTCACGCCATTTACAAAAATGTGCTGATTTTATTGCAAATTGCAATCTTATGTTTTAGTTTATTTCATTTTTCCCGAGAGGCAGATAAAACGACACTTTTGAAAAAAATAAAAACACCCAGGTAGACTTGGAAATTTCATTGGTCAGGATGGATGCTCTTAAACATTAAAAAAAATACTTAAGTATCAGTAATAGTTTATGTTGGGTTTAATTCAACTATGATTTATTCAATATGTCAGTGTAGATTTTAAAATTGTGTAAGAGTGTAAGTGTAACCTGTTTTGTACAGGTTGTGTGTTTTAACCTAGAGTGAAACATTTCCCATCCAACTGTTGACCAATTTTGTTTTTTGTATTGTTTCCCTGTAAATTTTAGGGAGCTGTACAAACGAGCCTAAACCTGTTACTTCACACAGTGCAGAGATGCTGTCCTCTCCAGTATATTTTGCATCAGTTTTTTTCCCCGTGTATTTAAAGCTATCCTTAAGAAATTCAAAGTTGATTATGTACCTAGTAAACTGAAGCTGTACATTTTACTGCCTTTTAAATTTGTCTTACAGCATACTATCATTATGTAAGTAAAAAGTAAGGCTTTGGTTCTTGATCCCCACCCCTCACTCCTACCTAACATACCCATTTACCTATTATGGATTGTGGAATTTAGTCCGTTTTAATAGATCTTAAATAAAAACAGTACCATAATAGGATCTTGAATCAGTTTTCTGCTTTTTTCTGAATCTTATAGACTGAGAGTAAAATTTAAATGGTGTCAGGTGTCATGTAACTGCATTTTCAAAAGTTGAATAATTAGAATTCATTTCTATATTGGGAGGTGGTCTTTTTGGGCTGTACTAAGCAGTGAGATATGAGTGGGTCATTAAGTGCCATTAATGACCCTTCTGATTGTAGGATAACTGAAAGATGAATGCCTGTCAGTTCAATAGTACTTAAAAGATTGGAGAGCACACACCCTGTCATGATTCTGTTACTCCCTTGTAAATATTTTCGAGCAAAATTTACTTTGTAGGATATATATGAACTAGTTGATGATAAGATTTTATTCTACAAAATTATAGAAATAACTGGCTTGGGGATGTTTTACATTCTATTAAGCTCCATCCTTGAGTGAGCTTACTATTTGTTGGTGGGTGGTGGGAGATTATATAGGAATTTGGAGTCAGTGTTCATGTTATGCTTTTAAGTAGATGAACATAGGTCTTTCACATGTGCAACTGCTGTGCATTTATTCTGTGGGCTGCATGGTTAAGATCTGTGGTACAGAAGCACGTTGCTTTTTGAAACTAATATATGAAATCAGGATAGTCTTACAAATTTCATTTTTTTAGCCATAGGAGGGCCACTGTCTATGCCCATAGTTTTCTTGATAGTGACCTTGGTTAGGTCTGGGCACAAAGTATTTGGACTTAGCTTTGAACAAAAAATACCAGGTTAAAAATGCTAAGAAAAGCTTCCTTGAGTCTACCAGCTTTCTTCAAATTGACTTACTTCATTAGTTTGGGTTTATGTTGTTCATTGTGATGTTTTGGTTTCTATAAAATGAAAAAGTTTTTAAAAAGCTATTGTGCCTTGTTTAACTTTATAAATTTTTAAAAATCAATTGACTATACATGTTTTAAATTAGCATCATGGAGTCAAATTTATTAAAAGGTTATGTATAATTGTTGTTGCTAGGGAGTTTAGAAGTGTTTGGTCCCTTGAGGGACAAGTACTCAGATAGTCTTTGTTCTTAGAATAACTGAGTTTGAAGGATTACTTGTTTATCTGTTTAAGTGGATTTGTAGAAAACTGTAATGTGATTGGAGAGTAAGTTTTAGTTTTAGAGACTACATTTTGATCACACTCAGCTTTTGTCAATGTAAATTAAAGGATCTCTTTGGTGCCTGTTTTAAGTTTAGAAGCTTTACAGGTTTCTATTTGCCTTCAACTTTACTGGACTCTGATAACTCTCCTATAATTTTGGCTTCTCTGGTTTCCTTACAACTTCCAGGCAGAGAATTTTTGGCATGTATATACCACAGTAAGCTTTGGATTTACTGGATCTAAAAACAAGGAGTTAGAGACAAAAACCAATTAACAAATTAGGAGAAACCCCTCCCCTCAATACATACCTTAGTGAACTTAGGCCAAATTGTAACTTCCTAAACTGGCATCTAAATTTATGAGACTGATGTGCCCTTTTTTTTAATGCACTAATCTCTTACAAAAATCTGCATTTATTTTATTTATTTATATTCCTGCAGTTTTATTTTTAAAGATGCATTAAGTAAGTCCTAACAGCTCTGCTTTTGGGGAATTTACTGCTGGGACATACTTGTATGCTATTTTATCGTATTTAAAATGTGTAAAACCAGCAAAACTTTGAAGACCTATGAAGATTGCCTTGGGAATATCAGTATGCAGTTTTTTAAAAAGATATTTCTAAAGGATTTATTCTTAAATGAAAGTTGCTGAAATATGTTAAATTTAAAGCTCCTGTTTGAACACATGTAAACCTCAAATATTCAAGATGATAAGGGGTTATTCCTTGTTATGTGTTAGAATAACTTTTCAATACTTGTGTTCTAAGGGACATTTTACTTTTTTGTTTGTTTTTTGTTTTTTGAGACAGGGTCTCACTATGTAGTTGAGACTGACCTGGGACTCACTAGGTAGCCCAGGGTGGTCTCGAACTCACAGGATCCTCCTGCCTCAGCCTCCTAGTGGTGAATTACAGGCATGCACCACTATGCTGGACTGAGACATTTTACTATTAAGTATAGGATTACTTTCTGAGTTACTGGCCAAGTAATAAGTGGGATCTATTTGAAGTATTGTGGTATGACTTGTAACTAGCTTTTAGGCTGGATTCAAAATTACAACAGTTTAACTTTATTGTTTTATGATGTAGAAATACTGAGAGGATCTTCTCCCTCCCCTTAATGAACTGAATTTTTTGGTATCATCTAAAAATGTATATAATACAGAACAACATTTGTGGTTGAAAATTGCTTTCTGCAATGTGAAGTACATGGCATTTAAAAATACACCTGTTGCTATTCAACAATGAATATTTTATAAAGGTGAAAATTAACCATATTACATGACAAGAAAATTATTATTGTACAGTCCTATGCTAAGTGCCACATTAAAAATCAATGGGCAAATTAGTATCTCAAAATAAAAAGCAGGAGTGGGGGTGGGCATGGGGGGTGAGAGTGAGGACACAGCTCAATTGTGGAGTACTTGCCTATCATGCTGGTGGCCCTGGTTCAGTCTGCAGTACTAGCAGAGGATGTTGGTGACCCAGACTAAGCTAATTCGCTCCTATTTGTGTCTTTAAGGGTGTAATTCATTCTTTTTTGGGGGTGGGGTTGAGACAGGGTCTCACTATGTAGTTGAGACTGACCTGGAACTTACTTTGTAGCCTAGGCTGGTCTTGAACTCACAGCAATCCTCCTGTCTCAGCCTCCCCAGTGCTGGGATTAAAGGTGTGTGGCACCACTCCCAGCTATAATTCATTGTTTTTTCCCTTCTTTCTTCCTTCCTTTCTTTCTTTCCTTCTTTTTTTCTTTTTTGGTATAATTTATTCTATTTCCCCTTCCTTCCTTCCTTCCTTCCTTCCTTCCTTCCTTCCTTCCTTCCTTCCTTCCTTTGTACTAAGATACTTTTTACTTAAACCACAATCGGGAAACAGTTCTTACATTTTTACTGGCTATGAAAATCAATTCTTTTTTCTGTCCTAGACAATTCATGCTTTTTGGGGGGACAGAGTCTCACTGTTAGTTCAGGCTGGTCTTGAACTCACTATGTAGCTTA